AAAAGGAGTCAGCGAGCGAAGTGAACTGAGGATACAATCCCTCAAGACCAGAATCACACCAAATATCAAAAACCGCGTTTTTCGATATATAACCTCGTTTTTTTCAAGACACTGTCTTTTTCAAGTGTTTTGGTTTAGAAGGTATATATATAATAAATATATAGTATTATATTTTCCAGCTTACAATTTTGGCTGCTTTCACTGATGGGTTGGACATATCTCAGAACTCCTATGCGAGAAGGTATCGCAGAGGTTCCGTTTGTCAGTGGTGCTCTGTTGATGGCGTATGTTAGGAAACATCGATTCCACCGTCGACCACTTGCAACACGGACGTCCTGCGCGTCCACGTCCCACAAACATGACTTTCAATGTCCTGCAGCCACGTCTGATCTGTTGATCGCTCAAGCAAACAGCCCTGCCGGTGGGTTTTTCCATACTTTGATGCCTCCCTCAGCACTCAAAAAGCACTGGCCCATTCTTCATACACACCCGTTATGGGTCTCACTCCACCAGGTCCTTGGCTGGGCCTTGCCCTTGGCCAGAGCTTCTCGAAACTTCCGTTGAGCTCTCTCCCCTGTTGGGCACTCAGCGAGTGGGGAGCTGCCAACCGAATAGCAAACAGCGATGGCCTCCAACCTAATAGCAAACATATAACATCAGAAGGAACTTCTTCCAAGAAAGGTGGAGGAACAATGCCAGACTCTTCGCAAAAAGTGCAATGCTGTGTGGGCCTCGTCATTAACCTCAGGAGTAGCCTCCTCAGGCACTTCTATTTAATTTGCGATACATTTCAAGCCTCTACAGCCTTGTGCTTAAACAAGGCCAAAGCAGCCCAAGCACACCCTTCTGGCCACATTCTTGCAAGTGACTCAAGTTGGAATCGCCCTGTAAGCAAAAAGGGGTACAGTAACTAAGTCCCAATCCTAAGTTCTTTAGAAAGGCCTATATACTTGCAAGTTGTCCAAGAGCTCCAAACATCTCTGAACTCTCTTCCAACTCACCATTCGCATAGAATAGGCCTGCACTACCAGCTAACACTATGGCATCCTTTCTGGCATGACCGGCACTTCTCCGCTTCTGCCATTTCTTAAGTTGCTCAAGCTGCAACACAATCAACGGCTGACTCGAAAGGAGATGGAACTTGAAGTTCCAAGACCAGTCCTTTGGTTTTTGGACACTTTAGTAACAAGAAGCTACTAGGAACAAAGGGCATCGCTACCAGGAGCAAAGACGCTACGAACGGGGCTCCTGGTTGGGTCTTCGGAATGAAATCCGAGGAGAAATTGTCCTAGTAGTTTCTTGCTCCTAGTAGTAAGGCCAGGAGCCCCGTTCGTAGCGTCCTTTGGCCTCCTCCTTTGCAAAGACCAGTCACCGGTCCTTTGAAGCCCAACTTTGCTTCGAAGCTACGAACGTAACAAAGTGCATCGCTTCTAGGTACCAAGTGCCTTACTAGTAGTAACAAGAAGCTACTAGTAACAAGAAGCATGGCCTCCACCCTAGTAGCGTCCAATCGCTCCTATTAGTAGCGATGCCCTTTGTTCCTAGTAGCTTCTCATTCCCACCCTATCCCGTGCCTCGTGCCAAGATCTCATGAGGGACTGGTGAGGCACTTTGTCCACTGGAGACCCTCCTGTCGACAGGTGCAAAGATCGCGTGAGAACCAAGAACTGATAGAGGGAAGTTTCCCGCTCTCGACGTCCTCTTTGAGTCAACTACACTTGGGTTGATCATTCTGCTGAAGAAGGCGTGTGCCGGTGTGCCGTGTTCCTTCAAAGGCACGCCTTCCCAGCGCACTCAGCTTGTTGCGCGCGTGCTCACGCCTCCGTGCGCACGTGCACTGACTCGCGTCGTCTCCTGCCATGGAGACCCAAGTCCATCAAGCCGCTAGAAGCTGAAGGTGAATTGGATCCACGGAGCGTGATCTGTGAGTCAGCACGGTCGGGTGGCGCACGCCTGGCCGCATTTTTTCGATCCATGACGCGGTGAGGTTTCTCCTTTCTATTCTTTTTTTCGGGTCTTCATAATACGTTTTATGGAATTCATTCAACTCGGAAACGCGAATTTTCTCAACTGTTTGTTCTTGGCAAACATTTTGTGGATTAGAATTCTGTGCCTTTTCAACGACATGCTCACATGAACCTCCCGGAAGCACAATGCTCACCAAACCATCCATCTTGCACCTGGCCATACACATAGAGCATGACTGACACCACGGGTTGCTCTCAAATCGCAGCTTCTCTGATACCATCCGCTGCTTTTTGAGGGTGTCCACACACCCGACGCGCTCCTCGCGCCTTGACACCACGGGGAAGTGTGGTGTGGCCGTGGGCGGCTTCCGTGGCTTCGGTGAGCCGCGGCCGGGATCGATCAGCGGGAGCGCTGGGAGCTCCTGAAGAGAGCGTTTCCAACGGTGTGACGAACGAGAGAGTCACGATCAGAAAAAATGAAAACAAGAAAACACCAGGAGTCTAAAGGTCTAAAGAACCCAAAACATACATATATATATATAGTATATATATATACATAACAAATAGATACCTATATAGTTACCTTTCGATACCTTGGTGTTCGTGAAGGCTTTTTTGGCAATATTTGATCTCTGGTTGATCTGGAGCCTAACAAGCATGACAGGATCGCCTGATGGGATTGTGCGGTGGATTGATATGGCTTGGCCATAAGTTGCTTGTAACAAAATGAGTGTACAAAGGACATCTAAGACTAAGACTTGGTACGGCACGCATGCACATGCACATACCCGCACTATGACTATGAGACACGAGCCTGAAAAAGTATTCACATGTGACATCTCCCATGGAATCTGGCAACCTCCGGCAACTAGGAACAAAGGGCATCGCTACAGACTAGGAGCTTCTTGTTACTACTAGTAAGGCACTTGTTACTACTAGCGATGCACTTGTTACTACTAGCTTCTTGTTGCCCGGGAGGTCGACCTTCGACCTTCGAAACCTCGCGACCGGGGTCGCCGATGCTCGATGGACGCTCCGTCGGAGATGTTGGGCTTCTGGAGCCTGGAACGAGGCGCCGTCGTGAGCCGGTGGAAGCTGCTCGAAGCTGCGAGTCTAGGAACAAGGTGCATTGCTACGTTCGTAGCTTATATAGTAGCTTCTTGTTCCTAGTAGAATAGAGAGGCACAAAGAACTATATTGAGGAAAAATTGGTCTTCAAGTACAGCTTGAAAAAGAATCTACGAGTACGGGATCAACAGCTCAGACGTCCGTTGGGTCAAAGCAGCTCTCAGATATGCTTTCTTCGGACCCTTGGCTGGCCTGAGATCAACAGTCGTGGTGTTCCACCATTTCGTGGAGTGCCATCCGTCTCGGCTCTGAACCTGCCAGGTTCCGAAAAGGGAGATGCATTGAGGTCCCAGAGCTGAGAAGTGACTCTTGTCATCAGCGTTTTCCTGGCGATTAGAGACATAAACCGCCATAAAGGGGGCTCTACCACAGATCAGTGAGAGTCTGTTTTGGATGCCCTTCAGTATGAAGTGTCTTCATTTCCGTGAAGGAGCCATCTTCTTCAACCATTTCCACACTAAGCAAACACTCAGGAAGTGAATTTCTCTCTCATCAAAGTGTGACAGTGCAGTAACTAGCCATAACTAGCCCACAACTACAGAGAATCATTCACAAGAGGCACTAAACAGAACAAAGCAAAGAAAGAGTGAAAAGAGCAACAACTACTCGAAGAATACTGAGGACTCTGTTTGTGTCTTCCTGATCATTTGCCAGAAAACATGCTGTACTAAGTAATAACAGTAAAAGGAGACAAACAAGTACATCTGCGATCCATCCAGAATGCAGTATGGGTACACATACCGTCACGTACCTGAGCAAACAAGAAGAATTTCGAGGATTTTGGAGCTAATGTGGCAAGTAACAAGTGCATCGCTAGTAGTAACAAGTGCCTTACTAGTAGTAA